GCCAATAGCCTTCACTCAGCTTGCCCTTGCCTAACTTGTTTTTGCGAGAGTTTCTTTCAAGGGGGATGCCTCAAATATTGGGGGAACCTCCAGACAGTGCTCACCAAATCAGGGGGAGCTGCTACCTTTCTTTCGGCTTGCCGATAGCACTGTGTCCAGAAAGCCGGAAAGTTCGCTTCGGGGGCCAATAGCCTTCACTCAGCTTGCCCTTGTCTAATTTGTTTTTGCAGGAGTTTCTTTCAGGGGGATGCCTCAAATACTGGGGGAACCTCCATACAGTGCTCACCAAACTCAGGGGGAGCCGATACCTTTCCTTCAGCTTGCCGATACCACTGTGTGTTATACGAGAGTTTAAATTTGGTTGGGGGATGTTCATATCCAGGCAAAGCTGAATCCTTGTCCTACCGAGCGGGGAAAGCTAACACAGCCGACCCTGATGGACCGTGGACTCGGCTGCGCGCACTGCGTGGGGGAGGGTTCCCATGGGGGCTCTCTCTCGTAGCCGTTAGCAAGCAAGCAAGCAAGAGAGAGAGACAGACCCAGGGCAAAAAGGAATGCAAAGTGAGCCACCGTAATTCCAAGCTGATTGGGTATATAAATGTGCATGTGTCCGACGAGAGTATACGATTTGCCATCTCCGTTATCGTACACTATGAGACTTCTCTCATTGGCAAATCTATGCTCGTTCCTCACTCCCCTTACGCCGATTAACAACATCGGGTGGGCATGTTTGCCCGGGGGCTTTGACCGTCGGGAGAGAGAGAGCGAGACCTAGCCCTGTTTATGCAAGCTGTCTTTCTGTCCTTATGTGTACTGAAGTTGGTGTAGCACTTTGAACCTCCTGTGTGCCGTGGCCAGAGCCTCAGACTGCTTCGTGTTCCAGAGCTACAGCAGGGTTCGGGTACTACCTAGTGTCTTTGTTCGCTTCAAGCAGTAACATTGTTGAAGTACACAAGGGGAGGCTACTTCAGTCGACATTCTGAGGGACCCGCACGATGTCTGAGAACTTCTACTTGTAGTTTGCCATTGGACAGTGTGATGTTCTGGGTTCAAGAGTGGGGGATCCCGCTGTCCCGCCTTACTGTTTAGCCGAGCCGCAGAGGGGTTATCCCCTCCTGCGGAGGTCTAAAACCCTGCAGGGACTTGCGGCTGCGCGTGCGGGGGGGCTGACAGTGGTCACCCCTCCTTGCCCGGTAGAGAGAGAGAGAGAGAGAGAGAGACCTAGGGGGGCAACCCCTTGCCCATACCCCTGGCGAAAGAAAGACCTAGCCCTGGCGAAAGAAAGAGAGAGAGCTCCCCTCTGTCCATAACCCTGCCGAAAGAAAGAAAGAAAGAGACACACACAATAGCATAAACCAGAACCTAACATCACAGGGCTTCTTTTATTTTCCAGCTTTGTCCCCTAGCATTGCAGGGTGGCTGATACGTAAAACCAGGCACAGCGGAGAAACAACAACGGGCTACATAATAGATGTTTATTATACACGGGGACATGCCAGAGCAACTGCAGGAGCGATGTGAGGGGGGACAAAGTTGATCTATCATGTAGCCCGTTTTTGTTTCTCCGCTGTGCCTGGTTTTACGTATCAGCCACCCTGCATTGCTAGGGGACAAAGCTGGAAAATAAAAGAAGCCCCGTGATGTTAGGTTCTGGTTATGCTATTGTTGTTGTCGATTGCTCCTTGTCAGGGGGGGAGAGCTTCCATGCTTGTCCCAAAACAGCAGAGTACAGACGTTTCGAAGCCCCCTGGAAAGACCTTTCTGGCGGATTGCTGAAGGCTAACCGGGGGGACAAAAAAAGTAGGCAAAGGCATGCGAGCGGGGGGTGCACTCAACTTATCGATTTAGCAGCTCGGCTTTGGTTGCACTTGTTGATGAACAAGAGTGCACACCCCATTCGCTGTGAGTGTCCGAGTTGTTGCATCTGTAACACGGGGGAATATTCTTTTCACCTGTCTTTTCGTTGACCCTCTACAGGTGTAATAACATAATTCAGGCGTCCGTGCAAGTCTGTCAAAGTTCGAGTATCGGGGAACTTGTTATGTACTGCTAAAGAAAAAAATCAAAAATATCAGAAAAAATCCGACACTCGAACATACTTTCACACCCCCGAAAGCCCCATAACATATGGGGGGCCAATAGGCCGGGGGGTCTGACCCGCCCGCTATGCCCTGGGGAAGAAGAGACACACAGAGAGCGAGAGAGGTGGTCGTGTCCCCTTGAAAGCCCTACAAACAGTGGGGGGCCCATGCGGCCAGGGGGCTTCACTCGCCCCTTACGCTTGAAGGAAGAAGAAGCGAGAGAGGCAGAGGAGAGGGCTGGTGTGCGTGGAATCAGGGGACGACGCCTTGACCTTTGGTGACACTGATGAGACAGACAAGAGTGAACCTAAAACCCTAAAACACAATCCCTCAACCACAAATGTGGGATCTTCAGAAACTGCCATGCGTGAGCCCAAAAACCGGAGGGAGGGAGGGAGGGAGGGAGGGAGGGAGGGAGGGAGGGAGGGGAAGCAACTCTCCTTTCTTGCTTTGTAAGGTGCACTGGGAACCAGGCCTGCCCGATTTTGTTGGGGAGGTTTTGATTCAGCGGTCTTGGTGGGCTTGTGTGTGTGTGTGCGCCTCAAATTTCGCACGCATGCAGATGCAAGTGTAGTACTGCTTACACCGACATGGTTCGCTGTGGGGATCAGATGCGGCCAGTCCAGAAGCCTGGATGCAAAAGTACATGTACATATACATACATACTCATTCAATGACTTGTACGCACGCACAATTTATCCTAGTTGTTATCATGCATATTCTCCCGCTCGCTCGCTCGCTGTCTCTCTCTCTCTCTCTCTCTGTCTGTATCTGGGTGTGTGTGTATATATACAGACATGTTCTCACGTTCAGGCCCACGTGCATACGCATGTGCATACACACACTCATGCAGCAGCACACGCACAAAAACCGTTTCTTTGAACGTGCACATACATATGTAGATGTCCTGTCACACTGTGACACAGCCGATGTACATTTTGGGATATACAGATATACATGCATGCATGCATGCATGCATACAGTGCATACATTGCATACATGATCACACTTGCTTACACATACCTACGTACACACAAAAGCACATAAGTACCCACAAGTACATACATACGTCTTCGCATATCCTTGTGACGTGAGTTCGTACACATGTGCAGAGAAACGTGTACATTTACATATGCATCTACGTAACACGTATACACATTCTCGTAGATGGAAAACAAAGCCACGGGGATACATTCAGGCAGATGTGCTGTGGGAGCACAAGCGGATACAGAGCCGCAGAGGACGACGAACCTCAAAGGGTGAGCAGCCAGACACAGCTTTACATATCCTCTTCGTACGCCGAAGCAACCTTCCGAGAGGGTAGCCAAGCCGTTGTCAGACATGCAGCAGCAATGCATCTGCAAGATTCTGCAAGCCTGTGATCCCGTGAACAGCTCACAGCGACGGTGAGTTTTCGTTTGGGCAACGACGACGACTGCTGCTACTAATTGGATTAATGCGCTGCAGTTGCCGGCTCGTTGCCCCGTGGAGTTCGTATGTCGTATGCACATGTGAACGTTTCGTGCTTGGAGTGTTCAGCTGAGTTTGGCGGTTTAGCGGCAGCTTGTTGGCATTACGTGCTGTTTCGGCTAGGACAAAAGGGGGCAAGTGAGCATTCAGATCTGCACGGTGGTCGTGGCAAGTTTATTAGCATGACCACAGTTGCTGTGCAACCTTTTCTTGCATTTGCACAGTTTCCCTTGGATGCGGACGGCAACTACCACGCCACCGGCCTGTCACGAGGGGAGGATTTGTTCAATGCAAAGGACCTTGCAGCGTTCCAGGCCTGCGCAGGGTCGGGCCTGCAGTTCGTTGAGAGAGCCGGCATGAGAAGTAGGCCAGTGCAGAATAGCACACTTTACGGAAGTTGAGGCTTCACGTGGGCTGAAGGTTTCAGCCTGGCTGACGAGACGGTGCTGTAGCTCTCAAAGAATTCAGGGAGATTCAGAAACCGTGGCCTGACACTGGGAAGAGTGCAACTCTGAAGCCTCGACAGTAAGACTGCCTATGGACACAAACTTTTCCTTGCTCGGGTGCCGCAGTCTGACTTGTGTTGATGATGGTAGCTTGCGCAAGGGCCGCGCCAGGTCCGACACCGTGACCGCGAGTAACAAATGCTCTGCTGTGTTGGCATCCTGCGTGAGGAAGGTTTGAAGACAACACCGGACTGGGCAGTTCCAGTGGCATGGCATCTCAGCGTAACGGTCGGTGGCTCAAAGTTTGTTGTCTCAGATGATTGGCTTCATGCCAGCTGTCACCAACTCGCGTGGATCCTAAACCTGACGCACAGATTAGATGTGAGTTGCCATGTCAGCTTGCCGCAGTGGATACAGTCGCTGGTCGCAAGTGACCGCTTCCACGCGGGCCTTTCTTGCGCCAAGGTGAACAGCAGCATCAAAGAGCCGGTCAAATTTGGCTTCGCCGGCAGCGGTGGGTTCTTGATGGTCACAGTTCCTGCTGAAGCAGCAGGCCTCTTGCGCCAATCTGCAATGGTAGGTGGCAACTCAGCAGCCGTGAGTCAACAAGACCTGAGGTGTCGAAGTTGAAGCAACTGGCCGCGTAGCAGCCGGTGCATCTGATGCCAGCTTCCAGTACCGGGATGGACCCAAGGTGGGCAGAGTGTGCTATGGACGAATGAGCACCGGAACCATCACCAACCATAAGGAATGACGCAGCCAAGAAGGAAAACCAAGGAATCATGTTGAGCAACGAGACACACACACCTCGCTAACCAAGAAAATAGAAGACAACATGAACACAGGCTGTTTATGCATTCCCATGCACGCCTGCATGCCTACGCAGACATCTGTGCCCGCACACGTGCACGCCGGTGCCACTTCCATCTTTCACCGCAGAAGCCAACACGTGGAGGAAATCACGGGTGAGGCTTGCTTCAGGCTTCAGTGGATGTTGGTGATATGGCGTTGGGTCTTTGCGCTTTTGCTTTGTGGATTTGCGGGAAGGGGGGGGAGGGGTGTTTGCCGGGAGAAGCACCACCGACACAGGCACTGCCGTGCCACACGCCACAGTCGCTCCTCCCATGTAGCCGCCCATCCACCCACCTCACGCCCACGCTCACGCTCATGCCCGCCTGCATGCAAAGGCATCCTTCAGTAGTTAATCATTGCAAACACACAGACAGGTCTCTGCAAGCAAGCCAAGCAAGCAATCGACGACCTCGCTTGAGAGGGAAAATCGACAGCAGACTTTGGCTGTATGCACGAACCGATTGAATTCGGAAGTGCAGGTTCTCAATGGCGACGTCGCTTGGCTGAGCTGAAGTTGCTGAAGATTTGGCAGTGTTTGTCAAAGCTTGAGGCTCAGCTTCAAGCAAGCACTTTGTGGTGGAACCAAGGTTATTTTCACGAACTTCTGTCTCAGACCGCGGCGATGCGAAGAGAAGGACGTCTGCACCGCTGTTTACGAGTAGTCTGAAGCGTTATGATTGGATTTTGTCTCGATAAACTCCGCAATTCAACATGTTGGCACCAGGAATTCTGTGGCCAGGGATGGGAGCCTAAACCTCCCAAGACGGTTGGCAACAGCAGGCCCGCTGTAAAGCACTTGGGTTTTTTTCTGGCCTTCGCCTCGGCCCTGCCCTTCGGGCCGACAGGGCCTTTAGCCAATTTAGCCGTAGGCCGTAGGAACAGGGGGCAGGAGCTGGAGGTGTTTCGATGCGATGCACGAATCCTTCTCAGAGGGAAAAAACCCTAAACCTCCATGTCTCAGGGAGTAGACGGCTGCTGCTACTGCTTGTGGCAGTTAACTGACTGCTGCTGGGCCAACGTGCCTCGAAAGACCGGAACTCGTAACCGAGTGTGAGTGCTGAAACCCTAAACCCTAAACCCCCTACAAAAAAAACACTGCCTAAACCCTAAACTAGGCCCTAAACCTTCATGGGTTAGTGGTCCATGGTCTTAGAGGCGGTTTCGGGACTTCGCACCTGAGAGACCTCGCCTGGCTTGTCCGAGGTGTGAGAGCGTAAACCTTCATTGTCTCCGAAGCCGGGCCGGGACCGTTTCTTCCGCTAGGCTCGAGTGTTGCGACGTCATCGCCTGCAAGGATGCAAAGGAGGCCTGTTACGCCCGCCATTTCGCTTCGACACCTCGCGCTCTTTCGGATAAATAAGAGCATAAGATGCAACATATATTTAGTAGAGTAGACCATTGAAGATAGTACTACGTACTAGAAAGTAAAGAAGTAGATGATAAGAGAGCACACTTGAAATTCTAAAGTGTCTCGTAGAGGTAGATGGCTGCAGCGGCACTGCTTGGAAGCAGAAGGCCAACTTCGACGAGCTGAAAGGCGCGGCAATTTCTACAAAGTCGCTAGAATATGACTAGAATCTCTCCCTCCCATGCTCCTGCGTGCCTGTGGTCCCTGGCCCATAATGAAGCAACACTCGTCTACTCGTCATAGCGACTAGTATGAGGCGAGATGGAGCTTTGCTTTCCGGAGAGCCAGACATGCAGGTTACACCAAAGACCAGTGTTGCCAACCTGTCCTCTGCGACGCGAAGATCTGCGGCCCAGGTTTCAAGGCTCGGCCGGGGACAGGTTCGCGGTAGCATCGTTTGGCTAGAGTGTTTGTAGAGTCCGGCCAGAAATGGTTCCGAGCATTGTTGTCTGATGGTGGGGAGAGAGAGAGTCTGCCAATAGAAAACATCCCTGTCAGAGGGTCATTTCGTCGCAGGCGAGTTTCTTGAACATTCGCCCAAACTTGCCTTGGGGTGGTCTGCCAGTGCAATGAACTGCTTGGGGTGAACAAAGGCTACAAACCACTGTGTTCCAGGCCAAGAATGCCACGGGCCTGCAAGGCAGCACCACAGACGAATGCTGCGAGCCGGCGCAGCCTGCTACGTTTAGCACTGTCTTCAGCTTTGTCGCAAGCTATTGCGACTAATGCCTGCCTGAGTTGCAGATGGCCGTCTGTGATTGAATGGAAGATCCAGATATTAGTTTGCTGCCCAGGTACTGCCACGAGATGGAATGCCCATCTTCGACGCAGTACACCCTCCTCGTGCGTGACGACGACGGACTGTTCATGGCTTGTCCCCGTTTATTCAGAGAAGGAACATGCAGATTCGATAGAAGTTGAGACGTTGAGAGCCCTCCTGCTCGGCCAGGAAAGCCCCGGCGCGGCAGCACGGTGAAAGAGTGCTGCAAGGAAGCCAAGTGCACGGATCTGGACCCGAGGGGGTGAGGATAGGGCTCAGCATCACTGGACTGGCACTGGAGCCCTGCTACTGCTAGGACTGTGGGAAGAGTCCGAACCTTGCCTGGCGAAACAAGACCTCCACAGACGGACTGGGTAGCACATTCCTCGAATGCCACCTGGCCAGAGCGCCGAGAGACCCCGGCACAAATCTTGCCTCGTCGGTTCTTGGCCTCCTGCCCAGGCTGTGACAAAAACTTATGCGCCACTCGGCTTTTTGAAAGCCATGGCCTGGCTGCAAGGCACTGCAAGGGTTTGCAAAACACGCCACTTCGAGGCTGACTTCACCTGTGCACCGTCCAGCCAGTGGAAGCCGAAGAATCTTCCGAAGCTTCAAGGCGGAAGCAACGAGGCGTGCTGTCAGCCCTTGATGTGCAAGGCTCACAAATGCCAGGGAGCCTCGACGGAAATTTAGACGGACATCTGAGAGAAGCATCCTGAAGGTTCATGCGCTAAGATGGGTTCTGTGGGTCGCGCGCCGATCTTTCTAAGATCCGAAGCAGACGGTCCCACGACTTGCTGATGGCAGCCCCTCCCTGGCGCTGGGATGCTTGGATGCAGAACGAGGGGCGGTCCTCTTCTTGAGGTGAGAGTGATTCGTCTGCTCATATCTATGATTGAAAACTTTTCACTTAATGACTTAATGCCGGTGGTAGCGCTTCCGTGAAACCTTTTTGGAGTCCTCCGGTTGCTTGCCCCGTCTCTGGCCCAGGGAGCACGGATGAGGAATGCTGTGAGCTGAAGCTTTGCAAAGACTATACCTGCAGCTCCTTGCCGCCATCTACATGGATCAGGGTGCTTTCTCTTGAGGTCGTCGTGGGTCTGGGATACTGAGGTTCGTGGCATTTACTTTTCTGACTTTCCCGATCTGCGTTTACCGAATGGGAAGGGCAGCCGTTCATGTGCATGCAGCATTCATGTAGCCGCCATCCCCGGGATTCATCGGTCTGGTTCACCCAGAAGGACGAGATGTGACAAGTTTGAGCAACGTCGCAGAAAGCGGAAGGGGCATTTGTCGAAAAGGCTGAAGGCTTGTTCCACTTGGGATTCCTTGCTGTACCAGAGCGAGGTGACCCCACGAAGTGGTCCATGAAGCCCCTGATGGAGGATGGCAGTCCCAGGAAGGGCTTTGACGACGAGACCTGCTGCGAGGCAGGCGGCCAGACGCTGACATTGGCGGATTGTAAGGGCAGGAATCTGAAAACTTGTTGCAGATCTTCTTTAGAGGCAGCTGGCCAGAGACCTAGTTAGCCCTAGTTGGAGCGTTCCTTTCGAAGGATGCAGGTGCAGTCATTTGTCTGCAGTGAAGATGCCGGGGCAATTTGCCGGAATCCCCGACTCAAGTCCGAGACGTAGAGACTGTACATGCGGGCGCAACGGTGCCTCGTGAAGGAGATCTTCTGCGAGAACTCCATCGATTGCGAGAGAGCGGATGGAGGCAGGCTGCAATGCCTGACGGGTATAGATGCACATGGCTGCCCGCCATGTGCCGGCAAGTCAGGCAAGTGGCGCTCGAAGGCTCCAGAGGCCCGCCCCAGTGCTCTTGAATTGAAAGCCTTCTCCGATTGGTAGATGCAGGCTCTGGTTGGACTGCAAGGCAGCACCACCCAGCAGTGCTGTGAAGCAAATCATTGTGTGGCTCGGTCGAAAGTTGGATGCCATGACTTCTCGTCTTCCCTTCACTGTGCGAGGCCGATTATACGTGCACTTCGGATTCGCAGGGAACTGGCCACGGGACGAAATGGTACAAGAAGGCAATGAGGGACATGCCGGGGTAGCTTAGCTCAGCCGAGAACAGACTCGCAATTTTCATCTAATTCACAACACACCAACTTGCACCGACACGGGTTGCTCTGCTTTGCACAGAAGAATCTATTGCTGGCTGTTCATGTTGTCAACATCCGACGGTCATGCATGTCACCGCCGCATGCAAAATACGACACAAAGAGCTGTCGTCTGTCTTGAATCGGCTAGCATGCCTTTGGGGGTTGCCGGGACAGCCGCTTTGTGTCTGCCTATTGCTTGACAGGCGGACACCAATCAGTACCGCTATCAGGGCAGCACTGATGCTGAATGCTGCTTGCCGAAGCTTCTTGACTCGCAGCACTTCCCGTTGTGACGCTGTGGGCCGTTTGGAAAATCGTGGGAACTGGGCCATTCTCCTGTGCTTCTAAGGTATTGTGATTCTTACGAGACAGAGCTGCCGCTGACCAAGTGGCTTCCTTGCTGCACTTTTGGTCGTGATCTGTTCTGGCGTGTGCTCCCCTCTGGCCTTGGCTTGGCTTCAGGAAGCGCCGAAAGGCCAGCGTCAGTCTGCTCGGCAGCACCGATGCCGAATGCTTTGAGAAGCGATTGCCGCTCGCTTGCAGGCTCTGCAGAGCAGGCTCGTTGTGAAGCGAGACTCTTGTCGAAGGTGTATGGAGGAGGTTGACTGTCAAGCCTTGGGCGCCGGGGCCAACGTTACCGACGCGAGCCTGCTCGGCAGCACTCGAGACGAATGCTGCTTCTAGGCACAGGTCAGTTCGAAGCCTCCGGACCTGGTCCGTACCTGTGCCAAGACATCGCCTCGAAAAATCAGTGCAGGCTCGGCGCGACCCCAGCGTTGTTGTCAATTGGCTTTAGGCTGAAAATACGGCCGCATGCTACCTGTTCGGTATTGTTCGGTTCTAGGCTCTGAGGGGAAGAGCACTTCCATGTACATATCGCGCCAGCCTGCGATGTGCCGCTGGCTCTGGCTGGTTCTGGGCTTCTGCTGTGCAGACCTTGAGCCTCTATCAGTCGATGACGAGTGCCAGTCGGATACTCTGCAGCAGCACTTCCATTCCCAGCCTCAGCGTCGGTTCGGTTCTTTCCTATTCCGCACTCGGAGCGCGCAACAAGAGAGAGAAGGAGAGAGATATATGTGCAGGGAGGGAGGGACGGCTCTTTCTTTTCTGTGTGGAAAAAAGATATATGTATGTGTGTGTATGTAATTATATATATATATATTAAATAAATATATATATATATATTATATTATATATTATATTATATATTATATTATATATATATGTATATATATATATTATATATTATACACATACATATCTATTTATATACAGATATATATATATATATACTGCATACATATATACATACATACATACATACATACATACATACATTGTTACATACATACATAGAGAGAGTGGCTGAGAAGTCCACTTAGAGAGAGCCCTGGTCCGAGTCTTGGCCCGGTCAGGGATCGGAGTCCTGCGCCCTCCAAGCGCTTCAGCTTCGCAAGCGGCTCCCGAGAGAGGCCCGGTTGCCTTAAGCGCGAAAGAAGAGCCTTACCCACAGGCTCCAAAGTAGTTCCGTTTTGGGAGTACCTTGTAGGATCCTAAATATGAACCACAACAAGGAACTACTATGGAGCCTATGAATGGGGTACTTAAGCAAGACGAAAAAAGTCTGCCGAGACTGCTCCGGGGCCCACATTCCGCGAGGTGAATCTGGAGACGCTGTGCTCCAAAGCCGACGGTGTTTGTGCACTGCTCTCCGACCAGGGGCCGGGTAGGCCCTCCACCAAACAACATGACGCTGCACTTGGCACGATGCTGCTGTCAGGCACTCGCTGACACTGTCCGACTTACGCATGCTGCTGGCAGTGGCGCCCAGCACCTTCCAGGCAGCAGGGGGAACAGGCTTGCCTGTCACAGTCCAGTGCAAACCACGACAGGCCTACGCGGAGGCAGTGCAGCTGGAGAAGACAGCTATGCAAGGAGATCGCGTGCTTTGCGTCTCGCCCGAGTTTTTTTCTATGGGTCCTTTGAAGCGAGCAGGAGGTGTCGAGACATGTTGCCCGCTTCAATTGCAACCTCTCGGTGCAGGTGCCCAGCTGTGTCAGGTCACGGCGAAGTTCCTCGCATCTCAGCACGTGGCCCTGCCACCTGGTCCGGACATCGGCTGCTACCAGGATCCCGAAGGCGCGGGATAAGTTTTGGGAACATCGATTCTGGCATGGTGATGGATGCAGCACCCACCGCTCCCTCCCGCGCTCTCCTCTCTCTTCTGCTAGCCCGAGTCCTACACGGCAGCCGTGGCAGGTAAAGATGTTTGTGGTGAAGATCTTTCACCCCAGACCTTGGCCACGCGCTTTGCCAATTCGGACCCCGGGGGTATCGTAGGGGGAAGCTTGCCAAGCTTGCCAAAGTGAGAGAGCAGGTGGTCAGATGCTTGACGCAGCATTGAGCCGTTGATGACAATGATAAACTAGTGAGCACAAGTATCAGGACCGAGATGATGATACTGATGCTGGCGACAATGGATTTCGATTGTGATGACATGCAGCAGCATAGACGGAGACGGTGACGTCGTGTTGGCCCTAAAACATCTGAAGTGGCCAGTCTCCTGGTTTGCACATCGCGACACGTGCGCACGCACGCGCGCGCACTCGCGCCCGCACGCCCGCACGCCCGCAC